AGAACGGCGGCAGGGAAGTGTCGGTGCGAAGAAACAGCGACGGGTCAGCAGTAGAAGGAGCAAACCCAAGAGCCGCAAGTGTAGTCCTCAGTGTGTCGTGCCACTCACGCGGTGCCTGGCGGAGACCGTAGACTGGCCGTCGGAGGCTCCACTGGGTGCCAGGGGGGAAAGTCCCATTGAAGCCAGGTGGACGGCGCAGCCAGATCTCCTCGTGCAGGCTACCCTGCAAGAACGCAGTGCTGAAGTCGAGAGAGTGAAGCTCGTAGTCGCGCTGAGCGGCTATGTGCAGCAGCACCCGAAGAGTAGTCATCTTCGGGGTGGGAGAGAAGGTCTGAAAGTAGTCAACTCCCTGCCGCTGACTGAAGCCACGAGCAACGTACCGTGCCTTGAAGACAGGTGGAGAGCCCGGCGGCCGCTTCACCCTGAAGATCCACATGCCACTGACGATGTTCGCCCCAGGAGGGGGAACCGCGTCAACGTAGGTGCCTGTGGACTTCCAGGAAGCCATCTCTGCATCCATAGCTGCCTGTCACTGAGAGGAGTAGGGACCCTCTACGGCCTCCGCGTAAGAACGCGGTGTCGGGATGTCTAGTGCATCCGGGTCTCCCTCAGGAGCAAGCAGTACAGACGCGAGATGAGGTGAAGCGGCCGCTAGACACTGTAACTCCTCCTTCCTGTCCTCTAGGACGTCCGTGCCAAGAGCACACTCACCCCCGACGGACGGAGGACAGACAGACGCAGACTCAGCAACAAGACCAGCAGCGTAGTCGAGACGACAGCGAGCAGCAAAGTCGACGAGCTCAGCGACTAGAGCAGACGCAGCAGTGGACTCAAAAGAGGGGTCAGTGACGACAGTAGCAAGCAGACGCGTGACAGTAGGACTGGCAGCACGAAGAGAGTCTGACCCAGGGTCGGCAAGCGCAGGAAGAGAGGACTCAGGAGGAGAAGGCAAAGGGGCACGCAGAGGAGCAGTGGACGGACGCAAAGACATCCGGTGCGTGCCAGGGACAGGAGGAGGACGCTGACGCGAACTGCGACCACTAGCGCGAGCAGTGCGAACAGGCGACGCGGGACGAGACGCAGGCTCACGACGCTCAGCAAGACCTCCAGTAGGACCAGTGTAAGGAGAGGGAGCAGGCAGTGGAGAGGAAGGCTCCCGCAGGGACTGCGACTGGACAGGCGGTGGACCCTCTACTGGAGGAGAAAGACCAAGAACCTGCTGCAGGAGCGGAACGAAGTACGGCCGAGGCCGCGCGGCAGCTCCAGACGCAGCAGGGACAGCACCAGCACCCTCAGCGATAGCACCAGCGCCACCCACACCTCCAGCGGCAGGACCAACAGCAGTAGGCTCAGCACCAGCGCCCTCAGCAGCTCCAGCTCCAGGAGGACCCGCAGGTCCAGCAGCTCCGGGACCGGCAGCACCCGCACCCTCGACGGTCGAAGAAGCTCCAGCTCCAGCTCCAGCAGCACCTCCAGACTCAGCAGCACGCCTCCAGCGGCGAGCGAACCACTCGCGCAGCTCCTGTGGAGAGAGGGGCTCCCGGCGAGACGCAGCAGCAGGAGAAACCCCAGGCTCAGCAGCTCCAGACGCAGCACCCCCAGGCTCAGCAGCTCCCAGCTCAGCACCCCCAGGCTCAGCAGCTCCCGACCCAGTACCCCCAGACCCAGCACCTCCAGGCACAGCACCCCCCGGCTCAGCACCCCCAGGCTCCGCACCCTCCGCAGTAGCACCCTCAGGCCCAGCACCCCCAGCAGTAGCACCCCCAGGCTCAGCACCCCCGCGCACAGCACCCCCAGAGTCAGCACCCCCAGGCTCAGCACCCGCAGCAGCACCAGAGTCACCAGTAACCTCGACCGGGTCAACGGCGTCTACCTGGGACACACCTGAGGGGGCAGGAACCTGAGGGGGGAGGGGGTCTACCGGGGGGGGAACCGGCACAAGGAAGTCCGGGGGAGGGGGGAGGGAAGGAGTGCGGTAGGGGAAGAGACGGTAGAAGGGGACTGACTCGTCGAACGTGACGTCCTGGGAGGACAGAACACGACGAGAGGAGGGGTGGTAAAACTGCCACCCTGGGGCGTCAGTGGGGAAGCCAAGGAAGACACAGGGAGCAGCACGAGGGGACAGCTTGTCCGCAGACAAGTCGCGGACAAACGCCCGAGATCCCCAGACACGGAACACAGACGCATCGCCAACCTTCCCCGTCCACAGCAAGGCTGGGGACATCGCAGGCCGAGAGACCCGGGGGTGAAGGTTGAGCTGATGCGCCGCGTACCTCACCGCAAACGGCCACAGAAAATGGGGGGCAGCCGCATGCATCATGGACGTACGAGCGACATCCATGACCATGCCAATGCGGCGCTCAGCAATCCCATTTTGCTGTGGTGAGTCCGGAAGCGTGAAGGTCTGGCGGATCCCCCGTGCACGACAGTAGTCCCGCAGAAGGCGAGAAGAGAACTCTCCGCCTCTGTCAGAGTGCAGACGCAGAACAGGAAAGTCCGAGCCGAAGCTCTTCCTGAGCTGGAGACGAGCCTCGCGGATCCAGTCGATCAGCACCTCAGTGACCTCACCCTTGCTGCGCAAGGGGAGGACTGTGGTGTAACGCGAGTAGTCGTCAACCACCAACAGGAAGTAGCGCTCGTAACCCTGCCCACGGACGGGGGCTGGGCCCCACACATCCATGTGAAGCGTCTGCAGGGGAGCCTCTGTCGGGGGGAAGTGGGAGGAGTGAGGAGCAGCCCGGAGGCGACCCTCGACACAGGGGACACAGGAAGGTCCTGGCCCGGAGGGGAGAGGAGGGAGAGACTGGGGAAGACCAGAGACAAGGACACGGGAAGCCATGCTCCGAAGACGGGGCAAGGAGGGGTGGCCAAGACGGTGGTGCCACAGGAGAGTCTCGTGAGACAGGAGGCGACAAGAACAGGGGGCAGACTCAGGACCTGACCGGGACGCAGCAGCAAGCACCTGACCCGACGCAGCCACCTGACCAGACGCAGGGACAGGAGGAGACTCAACGGTCAGGGTGTAGAGACTCGACCCCGGCCGACGCGAGAACGTGGCCAGGTGTCGGCCTGTGCGTGCCTCCGTGCAGTGGGTCACCCGCTGACTCGCAGGAGTGAACAGGTGAACCCCCACATCCTGCAGGTCCGCTCCACTCACCAAGTTCGTAGAGAACGAGGGAAGGTACAGACCCGACAGGGTGCCCGAAGGGGCAGCCGGACACGGGAGGACAGTGGAGAAGTGAGACAGGACAGGACCCCCAGAGGGGTCAGCAAGGGAGACCGCAACCGGCCGGCCGAGCGGCGTAAGGGTAGTGCGGTCTCGAAAGAAGGAGCGAGAAGCTCCGGAGTCAAGCGTGAAAGTGAGGGAGGACGAGGACGACGCAGTACCTGAGAGCGCAGTCTCACCAGTACCTGAGAGCACAGACGCACTGGCACCTAGAGCAGCAGCCTCACAAGCACCTAGCGCAGCAGTACCAATGCCCGGGTCGGGCTGGAAACAACGGTAACCCTCATTCTCCTCACTATAATCCACAGCATACATAGCAGCAAGGATAGCATCAAAATCAAGATCAAAGATCGCTACACCAGCCCTGAGAAGCTCATCCCAGCGAGGGATCTCACTAGCCCTAGGGAACTGCCGACGCCAAGCGTCCGTCAGGCGGCCAAAGCAGCGCTGGGTGGCGTGGGCACCCCCACACTGCTCACCCGCGCGGTCGCCGGAACGAAGAACGTAGGTGCAGGGACCAGTACCCCCACCCCTCTGACGCCCAGCGTACCACTCACGAAGCTGCTGAGGCGGAGGGATGTCCCGCGAGCGCTGCTGCTGCTGCCGCTGCGAGCGCTGGCCACCACCACCGCCGCTACGCTGCTGGGTACCACCTCGACCAGCTCCACCTCCTCCACCACCACCGCTTCCTCCGCTGCCGCCTCCACCGCCTCCACCTCCGCCGCCTCCACCACCGCCGCTGCCTCCACCACCACCGCTGGCACCACCACCACCGTCTCCGCCACTGCTGCCACCACCACCACCACCCCCGCCACTAGTCCCGCCGCCACCCCCACTCCCTCCGCCGCCACCGCCGCCACCGCCACCGCCCCCTCCAGCTCCACCCGCGCCCTTGCCCCCCTTGCCCTTGCTGGAGCGACGTCTCCCACTAGGGGCAGACGCCGCGCCGACCGACTCAAGACCAAGCAGGTCGGCAGCAGCAGCAGAGGCAACAGAGGGCAGCAAGGGGGAAGGAGAGCACCCCTCAAAGATGGGGGTGCGAGGGTCACCACGAGAAGCACCTACAGCGACTATGCTCATCTCCGCTGCGAGGAGGGCCTTCTCGAGGAGGTCGACGGTGAGGGTGGTGGGACAGACTGCGAGAAAGTGGTCCCTGACGACGCGAAGGGAGTCAGGGAGGCGCGCGACTACGTAGTAGAGAGCGATGTACATGGGGGGGGGGGTTCTTAGCGCAGAACTCAGCAGGAAGGGCGGCGCGGTAGCGAGTGTCACTAGTGCGGAGGTGAGTAATGAGGTCAGCGACAGTGGGAAAGGCAGAGAGGTCAGGAAAGAGGTAGGGAAGCATGAGACGGCTCAGTGCAGCAGTGGCAGGGGAGGAGTAGCGCGCAACTACAGCGTCGTACAAGGTCTGAGCACTCTTGTACTGACTAAAGTGCGCACGCTCAGAGGTAGGGAGGTGGCGACGCACAGCAAGACGTGCAGCAGCATCGCGGGTGGCCCACTTAGAGCGGACAGTGGGATCAGCATCAGCAGCAGGAGCAGGAGAGGCGCCAGAGGTGAGGTCAAAGAGAGAAAGGTCGTCAGCCCTGTCGCACTGTAAGAACAGCTGCAGGTCGTCTAACCAGACCTCAAAATCAATGGCGCGACCCTCAGCGTCAAAAGCTAGGACACTAGGGGTAGCCATGGCGACGACAGCGACGCAGTGCAAGCAGTAGGGAAAGAGCTCGCAGTGTCAGTGGGACTGTGCTCACCAGGCAGGGCAGGTCGTGCAGCTATGCAGAAAGGCGGCTCAGCGACCGGGCGGCTCGGGTGCACAGCGGCTCGGCTCCCGGGCGGCTCGGCGGCTGGGCGGCTCGGGCGCAGGGCGGCTCGGCTCCCGGGCGGCTCGGCGTCAGGGCGGCTCGGGTCCCGGGCGGCTCGGCGTCGGGCGGCTCGGCTCCCGGGCGGTTCGGCTGCTGGGGCGGCTCGGCCAGGAGATGCAGGGGCGGGGCCGTCAGGTGCAGCGGCGGGTCGACCGGTGCAGTGGCGGGCCGGCAGGTGCAGCGGCGGGCCGGCAGGTGCAGCGGCGGGCCGGCAGGTGCAGGCGGCGGGCCGGCAGGTGCAGCGGCGGGCCGGCAGGTGCAGGCGGCGGGCCGTAGGGTGCAGCGGCGGGCCGTAGGGTGCCGCGGCGGGCCGGCAGGTGCAGCGGCGGGGCCGTCAGGTGAAGCGGCGGGCCGCTGGGTGCAGCGGCGGGCCGGCAGGTGCAGCGGCGGGCCGGCAGGAGCAGCGGCGGGCCGGCAGGAGCAGCGGCGGGGCCGTCAGGTGAGGCGGCGGGCCGGCAGGAGCAGCGGCGGGCCGACAGGAGCAGTGGCGGGGCCGTCAGAGGCGGCGGGCCGTAGGGTGCAGCGGCGGGCCGTAGGGTGCAGCGGCGGGGCCGTCAGAGGCGGCGGCGGGGCCGCAGCAGTAGAGGCGGGGCCGCGTCAGGGGAGGCGGCGGGGCCGCGTCAGGGGAGGCGGCGGGGCCGCGTCAGGGGAGGCGGCGGGGCCGCGTCAGGGGAGGCGGCGGGGCCGCGTCAAGCAGGCGGCGGGGCCGCGATCAGGAGAGGTGGCGGGGCCGCGTCTGAGGGACAGCGGGGCCGCGAGGGAAAAGGCGACCCGAGGGGTCGCTAAAAAAAAGGCGCGCCTCGGGGCGCGCTTCGGTGGGCCCTAAAAAAACGGTCCTAAGGCAGGACCCGCTCTATACCATGTGAAACAAGGACAACAGGAATGAAATGACTAAGTCAGAGTTGGGTACAAATACAACCCTAGAAAGCTGTACCCCATATGTGCTACCCCACTATAGCCTACAAACATGCATCAGTTATAATAATCCGACAAGACAGGCCGATGCACCATTTTCTCTACACATGTGCGTTAGTTACCTTTCAAACCCTTACGTTCACTAGATGAATTTATTTCCTACCTTCTATTTGAGTGAGACCACTAGATTCCGTGTACTATGCAAGATCTGAGCGCTTCCGTTCTCCCTGGCATTTGCATTCTAAGTTCCCATACTGACCGACCTGGCCAATGCACCATTTTCCATATAAATATGCATTAGATTCCTTTCGAACCTTATTAGCTCACTAGATTTATATATTTCCCACCTTCTGATTGAGTGAGACCGCTAGATTCCCTCTACTTTTTGAGAAATGAGCGTTTCCGTTCTCCTTGGCCCTACTTGCACTATAAGTGCGAAATGCCGGCCAGACTGGCCGATGCACCATTTTCTCTACACATGTGCGTTAGTTACCTTTCAAACCCTTACGTTCACTAGATGAATTCATTTCCTACCTTCTATTTGAGTGAGACCACTAGCATCCGTGTACTATGCGAGATCTGAGCGCTTCCGTTCTCCCTTGCATTTGCACTCCAAGTTCCCATACTGACCGACCTGGCCAATGCACCATTTTCCATATACATATGCATTAGATTCCTTTCGAACCTTATTAGCTCACTAGATTTATATATTTCCCACCTTCTGATCGAGTGAGACCACTAGATTCCCTTTACGTTTTGAGAAATGGGCGTTTCCGTTCTCCTTGGCCCTACTTGCACTATAAGTGTGAAATGCCGGCCAGACAGGCCGATGCACCATTTTCTCTACACATGTGCGTTAGTTACCTTTCAAACCCTTACGTTCACTAGATGAATTTATTTCCTACCTTCTATTTGAGTGAGACCACTAGATTCCGTGTACTATGCAAGATCTGAGCGCTTCCGTTCTCCCTGGCATTTGCACTCTAAGTTCCCATACTGACCGACCTGGCCAATGCACCATTTTCCATATAAATATGCATTAGATTCCTTTCGAACCTTATTAGCTCACTAGATTTATATATTTCCCACCTTCTGATTGAGTGAGACCGCTAGATTCCCTCTACTTTTTGAGAAATGAGCGTTTCCGTTCTCCTTGGCCCTAGTTGCACTATAAGTGCGAAATGCCGGCCAGACTGGCCGATGCACCATTTTCTCTACACATGTGCGTTATTTACCTTTCAAACCCTTACGTATACTACATGAATTTATATCCTACCTTCTATTTGAGTGAGACCACTAGATTCCGTGTACTATGCGAGATCTGAGCGCTTCCGTTCTCACTGGCATTTGCACTCTAAGTTCCCATACTGACCGACCTGGCCAATGCACCATTTTCCATATACATATGCATTAGATTCCTTTCGAACCTTATTAGCTAACTAGATTTATATATTTCCCACCTTCTGATCGAGTGAGACCGCTAGATTCCCTTTACTTTTTGAGAAATGAGCGTTTCCGTTCTCCTCGGCCCTACTTGCACTATAAGTGCGAAATGCCGGCCAGACTGGCCGATGCACCATTTTCTCTACACATGTGCGTTAGTTACCTTTCAAACCCTTACGTTCACTAGATGAATATATTTCCTACCTTATATTTGAGTGAGACCACTAGATTCCGTGTCTTATGCGAGATCTGAGCGGTTCCGTTCTCCCAGGCATTTGCACTCTAAGTTCCCATGCTGACTGACCTGGCCAATGCACCACTTTCCATATACATATGCATTAGATTCCTTTCGAACCTTATTAGCTCACTAGATTTATATATTTCCCACCTTCTGATCGAATAAGACCGCTAGATTCCCTCTACTTTTTGAGAAATGAGCGTTTCCGTTCTCCTTGGCCCTACTTGCACTATAAGTGCGAAATGCCGGCCTGACTGGCCGATGCACCATTTTCTCTACACATGTGCGTTAGTTACCTTTCAAACCCTTACGTTCACTAGATGAATATATTTCCTACCTTCTATTTGAGTGAGACCACTAGATTCCGTGTACTATGCGAGATCTGAGCGCTTCCGTTCTCCCTGAGATTTGCACTCTAAGTTCCCATACTGACAGACCTGGTCAATGCACCATTTTCTATATACATATGCATTAGATTCCTTTCGAACCTTATTAGCTCACTAGATTTATATATTTCCCACCTTCTGATCGAGTGAGACCGCTAGATTCCCTCTACTTTTTAAGAAATGAGCGTTTCCGTTCTCCTTGGCCCTAGTTGCACTATAAGTGCGAAATGCCGGCCAGACTGGCCGATGCACAATTTTCTCTACACATGTGCGTTAGTTACCTTTCAAACCCTTACGTTCACTAGATGAATATATTTCCTACTTTCTATTTGAGTGAGACCACTTGATTCCGTGTACTATGCGAGATCTGAGCGCTTCCGTTCTCCCTGGCATTTGCATTTTAAGTTCCGATACCGACCGACCTGGCCAATACACCATTTTCTCTATACATGTGCGTTGAATACATTTCAAACCTTTTTAGCTAACTAGATGTATATATTTCCCACCTTCTGATCGAGTGAGACCGTTAGATTCCCTCTACTTTTTGAGAAACGAGCGTTTCCGTTCTCCCTGGCCCAACCTGCACTATGAGTGCGAAATGCCGGCCAGACTGGCCGATGCACCATTTTCACTACACATGTGCGTTAGTTACCTTTCAAACCCTTACGTTCACTAGATGAATATATTTCCTACCTTATATTTAAGTGAGACCACTAGATTCCGTGTATTAAGCGAGATCTGAGCGGTTCTGTTCTCCCAGGCATTTGCACTCTAAGTTCCCATACTGACCGACCTGGCCAATGCACCACTTTCCATATACATATGCATTAGATTCCTTCCGAACCTTATTAGCTCACTAGATTTACATATTTCCCACCTTCTGATCGAGTGAGACCGCTAGATTCCCTTTACTTTTTGAGAAATGAGCGTTTCCGTTCTCCTTGGCCCTACTTGCACTATAAGTGCGAAATGCCGGCCAGACTGGCCGATGCACCATTTTCTCTACACATGTGCGTTAGTTACCTTTCAAATCCTTACGTTCTCTAGATAAATTTATTTCCTACTTTATATTTGAGTGAGACCACTAGATTCCGTGTACTATGCAAGATCTGAGCGCTTCCGTTCTCCCTGGCATTTGCACTCTAAGTTCCCATACTGACCGACCTGGCCAATGCACCATTTTCTATATACATATGCATTAGATTCCTTTCGAAACTTATTAGCTCACTAGATTTATATATTTCCCACCTTCTGATTGAGTGAGACCGCTAGATTCCCTTTACTTTTTGAGAAATGAGTGTTTCCGTTCTCCTTGGCCCTACTTGCACCATAAGTGCAAAATGCCGGCCAGACTGGCCGATGCACCATTTTCTCTACACATGTGCGTTAGTTACCTTTCAAACCCTTACGTTCACTAGATGAATTTATTTCCTACCTTCTATTTGAGTGAGACCTCTAGATTCCGTGTACTGTGCGAGATCTAAGCGCTTCCGTTCTCCCTGGCATTTGCACTCTAAGTTCCCATACTGACCGACCTGGCCAATGCACCATTTTCCATATACATATGCATTAGATTCCTTTCGAACCTTATTAGCTCACTAGATTTATATATTTCCCACCTTTTGATCGAGTGAGACGGCTAGATTCCCTTTACTTTTTGAGAAACGAGCGTTTCCGTTCTCCTTGGCCCTGCTTGCACTATAAGTGCGAAATGCCGGCCAGACTGGCCGATGCACCATTTTCTCTACACATGTGCGTTAGTTACCTTTCAAACCCTTACGTTCACTAGATGAATTTATTTCCGACCTTCTATTTGAGTGAAACCACTAGATTCCGTGTATTATGCGAGATCTGAGCGGTTCCGTTCTCCCAGGCATTTGCACTCTAAGTTCCCATACTGACCGACCTGGCCAATGCACCACTTTCCATATACATATGCATTAGATTCCTTCGGAACCTTATTAGCTCACTAGATTTATATATTTCCCACCTTCTGATCGAGTAAGACCACTAGATTCCCTCTACTTTTTGAGAAATGAGCGTTTCCGTTCTCCTTGGCCCTAGTTGCACTATAAGTGCGAAATGCCGGCCAGACTGGCCGATGCACAATTTTCTCTACACATGTGCGTTAGTTACCTTTCAAACCCTTACGTTCACTAGATGAATATATTTCCTACTTTCTATTTGAGTGAGACCACTTGATTCCGTGTACTATGCGAGATCTGAGCGCTTCCGTTCTCCCTGGCATTTGCATTTTAAGTTCCGATACTGACCGACCTGGCCAATGCACCTTTTTCTCTATACATATGCGTTGAATACATTTCAAACATTTTTAGCTGACTAGATTTATATATTTCCCACCTTCTGATCGAGTGAGACCGTTAGATTCCCTCTACTTTTTGAGAAACGAGCGTTTCCGTTCTCCGTGGCCCCACCTGCACTATGAGTGCGAAATGCCGGCCAGACTGGCCGATGCACTATTTTCTCTACACATGTGCGTTAGTTACCTTTCAATCCCTTACGTTCACTAGATGAATATATTTCCTACCTTATATTTGAGTGAGACCACTAGATTCCGTGTATTATGCGAGATCTGAGCGGTTCCGTTCTCCCATGCATTTGCACTCTAAGTTCCCATACTGACCGACCTGGCCAATGCACCACTTTCCATATACATATGCATTAGATTCCTTCCGAACCTTATTAGCTCACTAGATTTATATATTTTCCACCTTCTGATCGAGTGAGACCGCTAGATTCCCTTTACTTTTTGAGAAATGAGCGTTTCCGTTCTACTTGGCCCTACTTGCACTATAAGTGCGAAATGCCGGCCAGACTGGCCGA